CTCCATCCGAATGGGTTACCATGGCAACCCCTCTGGCCTAAAAAGAGCTGGACCACATTAGTTCCTTAGCAGCACCTTTTTGACAGGCGAAACACAAGCTACTCCCTCCAGATGATGGTTTCGTGTGGAACTGAGGCTGTCTGGGAGCTGCCGCGGTGCTCTGGGAAGTGTTGATGATGTAACCCATGGAGAAGAACTTCTGCTGGGACTTCACTTGGGGTTGGGGCCTGTCACCTCGTTCTTTTAAGCCTTCTGATGTTTACATTCTCGTAATAAACTTTCCCAAGAAGTTTTATGTAAATAATTATTGTTTTACATTCTTTTCTGGAGGAGGAGAAATTTGATGGACTGTTGGTTTGTCCAGTGTCATTGGAGAGGTGGCAGTCCAATCCACTGTCACTTTTGAAAGTCTATAAATGTTAAAGTCAGAAATTAAACTTCATTTTTTTACTTTAGAAGTTCCAGTATCTGTGTCGTTTTGTGTCCTATAGTGACAGGGGCCCAGCACCAAAGGAACTGAGCTGTGAGGTGGCTTTGGTGGAGAAACACAACAGCAGAATCTTTCCTTCTGTATTTTGATGGAATTCTTCCTGAAGATCTTCCAGCTTGGGTCTGGTGACCTAAGAAGACCCCTCTTGCAGCGGGATACAGAGGATTATTGGAATTGCTGCTGGTCCAACACAGCATCTGCATCAAAATTTGTACCCAAAACACAAAAGTTGAGCCCTGGAAAAGTCAGGGTGCCCATGGCTGATGTGAAGGAAGCCTGGAGTTCAGGCAGAGCTGGAAACTCTCCAGGAGGAAAACTGCAGGGCTACAAGGGCAGGTTGGATCAGGGAATGAAGCCTTGCAGAGAACACAGTGAGAGGTAAATGGGCCCCTCTACTCCATGCAGGAAGGCTGGAAAGGGAAAAAATGGGACATATTACCCATAATCACACTCCATTGCCATAGAATCATAGTTTGGGTCAGAAGGGACATTAAAAACCATCCAGTGCCATCCCTGCCATGGCAGGGACACCTTCCACTGTGCCAGGCTGCTCCAGCCCCAGTGTCCAACCTGGCCTTGGGCACTGCCAGGGATCCAGGGGCAGCCCCAGCTGCTCTGGGAATTCCATTCCAGCCTTCCCCCACCCTGCCACGGAACAACTTCTTCATATCCCTAACCTAAAATTCCCCTCTTTCAGTTTGAAGTCACTCCCCCGTGTCCTGTCACTCCAGTTCCTGATGAATTGTCCTTCTCCAACTTCCCTGTAGCCCCTTCAGACCCTGGAAGGTCTCCACAAAACCTTCTCCAGGCTCAACAGCCCCAGCTCTTCAGCTGTTTTGTTGTTTCTTTTACATCTGTTCCATTTCTCTAGAATGCTGTATGTTATTTGCTCTCAGAACTCATTTCTCCACTCTCTTTCCTCTTCATTTTTAATGTGCTTTTTTATTATTTTTTCTCAATTTTTCTGCTTATTATTGTTTTTTTGGTCCCAAGTATTCTGCTTTCTGAGGGATGGTTTCTTAGGAAGAGAAACCCAAGTATTTCTTATGAGCCTGACCATTAATTAATGTAGAATGTATACAACCTCCTGTTTTCAAGCACTGCAAACCTACTTCAGCTAGTTTGTGATGGAGAGTTAAAAAAAAAGGACTCTCATTATCCAAAAAAGGACTCTCAAGTCTTTCCTGTCTTGGCAGTCCCTCCTCTCCTAAAGAAAATAAAAAAGGAGTAAGATTTTTATAATTTTTGATAAGCAAGAACTTGAATTCTCTTCATCCAGGTCACAACTTGTGTGCAAAGTTCCCAGGTAAGGCAGGATTCTGGTGGAATCCCAGCCTGGAGGATTCCTAACCCAAGCCCCAAAACTCCAGCAGAGAACACAAGTTCACTTCCTGACAACTCTTTCCAGGAAGAAATTCCTCCTGATGTCCAACCTGAACCTCCCTTGGATTTTTAATGAAATGGATATTGAAGAGAACACTTTTGTCCAAGGGAAAAACCATGCAGGTTATTCATTATCCAAATAAAATTAACAACCAAAAAAGATCTAGTTCTTTGTGCTGGAAAATAACATTTTAAAAAGATGCCATCACCTTTTAAAGGACATTTTATTTCTGCCCAAGGTGCCAGAGCTTGGGTATAGCCAGCAAAATAAATGTAGAGGATGAGTGAGCAAATGCACTCTGTAAAACTCTGTAATATTTTTAAGTGTTAGCAAAAAAACCCCTCAAAACCGGACAAAAACCCCAAACCCCAGGAAGTGACAGTAATGCAGTGAACAGAGTAACAAATTTCTGTGAGCTTTGTAGTTACCTACACTGAGCCACAGAGAAGCTGTTCTGTCACTGCACTCACATAGACCAGAAGGAGATTTTGGAGGGGAAAAAATCCCCAGGGAATGTCTCCCCTGCTCCTCTCCGAGAGTGGAGCTGTTCTTCCTGACTGAGAGACTGGGCAGAGGTTGGCCTTTGAGATCTTGGAACTGTCCACGTGGGAAGAGCCCCTCAGGATCACCCAGTGCCACCCCAGTGCCACCAGCATCACCCCAAACCCTGTCCCCAAGGCCACATCCAGATTCCTCCTGAGCACTCCCACAGACAGTGACTCCAAACCTCCCTGGGCAGCTCAGCCCAAGGCCTGACCACTCTGCCAGGGAAGTTTTATTTTCAAATCTCCAATCTGAACCTGCCTCTGGTGCAATTTGAGGCAATTTCCTCTCCTCCTTTCCCTGCTCCTCCTGTCAGGAGTTGTGCAGAGCCACAAGGTCCCCTCTAAGCCTCCTCTTCTCCAGGTTGAGCCCCTTCCCAGCTCCCTCAGGTGTTGCTTTCCACATCCCAGGACAACAATCACATTCTTGCCATGCTCAGAGTCAACGAGAGAAGTGTCAAAAGCAGCTCCAAGTGACCTCAAATTTTTCTGGGGCTGAGGGGAATGAGAAAGGACGACTTAAATTACGGTGCTCCCAAGCACCTCCCATGGCTGGAAGATGCAGTTCCATAGGTAATTCCAACTCACCCAGCACCTCACTGTCACTCCTGGTGTGGTCCCTCGATTCCCCTGCTCTTCCCTGTGCACCCCTGTCCCAGGAGAGGGACTTTTTCCAAGGGACTGGGATGACAAGACAAACAGGAATGGCCATAAGCTGAAAAAGAGAGGTTTAGGTGGGGGTATCAGGGAGAAATCCTTCCCTGGGAGCGTGCCCAGAGCAGCTGTGGCTGCCCCTGGATCCCTGGCAGTGCCCAAGGCCAGGTTGGACACTGGGGCTTGGAGCAGCCTGGCACAGTGGAAGGTGTCCCTGCCATGGCAGGAAAAACCACTGGATGGTTTTTAAGGTCTTTTCCACCCCAACCCACTCTGGGATTCTGGGATCACACAATTTAAGTAAAATTCTCATAATTTCAGTTATTTGGGGGGCTTTGGCTGTGACTGCATCTGTCTGCCAATCCTTGGCTGCTTATTTCCACCTTTTAAGCCAAGATAAAAAAAATATTAAAACAGGAAGCAAAAGCAAATGGAACAAGTAACATGTCCTAATTTCTCCAAGGAGGATGGCTGGGAACTGAAATGACTAGATTAAAGTATCACACGTCAGAATTAAAGTATTAGATAAAGGCCAGACTCTACTTTTTGATCTTTGTGGGCATTCCAGAAACTAAAAAAAAAAAAGAGAAAAAAGAAAAAAAAAGAGAAAGAAAAAAAAAAAAAAGCCACACCATTAAAAACCCCATCACAGATTTAGGCTGGAAGCACTGATCTGGCAATTCTGAGGGGAAAGGAGCCTTCCGTCAGCAGCTCGAGGCTCCCACACCGGGCTACTTACAGTGCATATTTTAACTTATTTTTGGGAAATATATTGACTTTTTGAGGGGGATGAGGAAGACCCCTGGATGCAATTCCAAGGGGAAAAAGAGCCTTTTATTATGTGATTCCCTCAGCACCTCAAGGCTCCCACACCAAGCTACTTCTGAGTGCATTTTTAAACTCATTTTTAGGGGAATATACTGTTTTTCAGAGCGGGGTGAGAAAGACCCCTGGATGCAATTCTGAGGGGAAAGAAGCTTTGCCTCAGCAGCTTGAGGCTCCCACACCTAACTCACTTCTGGGGGAATGTATTTTTTTTTTCGTGCTGAGAATTAGAAAAAACCCTGGACAGAATTCCAAGTGGAAAGGAGCCTACCCTCAGCAGCTCAAGGCTCCCACACCAGGTGACTTTTAATGGGTTTTTAAATTTGTTCTTGGGGAATACGGATTTTCTGAGGTGACGAAAAAAAACCCTGGATGCAATTCTGAGGGGAAAGAAACCTTCTAGTCCCCTGTGACTCCCGCAGCATGCCGGGGCTCCCACACCGGACGACTTTTAGCACATTTTCCAACTCGTTTTTTGAGGGTGATATTTTTAAGCGGGTCGAGAAAGACCCGTGAACGCAATGCCGAGGACAGGGGAGGAGAGAGGAGCTTTCCCTCAGCAGCATCAGTCACTCCGGGCTCCTTGCAGTGCGTTTTTTGAACGGTTTTTCGGGAACGTCTCGGGTTCCGAGGGGGCCGTGCCCGGCCCTGTCCCTCCCCACAGGCGGCGGGCGGGAAGCCCCGGCGGGCTCGGCCTCGCGCTCCCGGCGCCCCCTGCGGGCCGGGGCCGGCACTGCCTCAACGGCCGGGTCCCCCCTTCACCGGGAATGGCGGCCGCTCCCCTTCCCCGCCCCGCCGGGGCCATCCCGGCCCGCAGCGCCGCCGACACCGTCACACGCCGGAGGGCGGGCGGGCACGGATCGGGAAGGAGGGGGAAGGAGCCGTTGCCATGGCGAGCGCGGCCCGCCCTTGCCTCCCCACGTCAGCGCCGTCTCCCGCCCGGCCGCGGGTGATTGACAGTTGCCATGGCAACAGGCTCGCCCCCGCCGCCATTTTGTCAGTTGGGTTTTTTTTTTAAATTTAAAAAAAAAATTTAAAAATTAAAAGACAATAAAATAATTATAAAAAACAAGAGCAAAGAACTCAATTTCCGACAGAATCTAGTTTTTTTTTTTAAGTTTCTTTTTTTTTCTTCTCCTTCTTCCGACCTCCACCGCGAAAGGAAAAGGAAAAGAAGGGACGCAAAAAAAGTGCGCTCCGAGGGTCCCGCCGGGGATGCGCGGCCGGGCTTGAGGCGGCGGCGGCGGTGCGGGAAGCGAAGCCGGTTCGTGAGGAAGAAGGGAGGGAGGGAAGGAGGGGAGCAATGTTACAGGTCCCATGTCATTTCCAGCTCCTCCCGCTCCCCCCGCCGCTGTCCCCGCGCTCCCGGCCGGGGCTCAGGCCGCCGATCGCAGCCGAGCCGAGGCGAGGCCGAGCCGCCGCCGGGCGCTGCGCAGGTTTGGACCGCGCGCCATTTTGTGAGGGCAGCGAACACCCAGAGCCCGGCCGGGGACCCGCCGGGCCGCCCGGGCTCCCCTTCCCACCGCGAGCAGACCCGCGGCCCGAGGGAGGAGGAGGCGCCGCCGCCGCCGAGGCCCCCGGGGAAGAGCAGGAGGACGCGCCCGGCGCTCGCCCCGCGGAGGGAGAGGCCTCGCCCCGGGAGAAGCCGCCGCACGGGTGAGTGAGACGCCGCACCGCGGGACGAGCCGGGGCCGCCTCGCCCGGGCCCGCGGCGGAGGGGCCGCAGCGCTTCGCTGCCATCTTAGAGCGGGAGCGGCGGCAGGGCCGGGATCCATCCCCGCCCGCCCCTCCGCAACCCGCGGCCTTTTTCCCCTTGGAGCGCGGCTGTGGCTTCCAGGGCCTTGGGAGCGGCGATGGAGGAAGGGAGCTCGCCCGGAGCCTCTCGGCGTTATGCGCAACGCCCTGCGGTGGGCGGGTGCGAGGGCTCGGGCCGGGCTGGCGGCGAGGAGGGCGGCAGGACTTGGAGCATCACCTGTTGTAGGGGAGGATTGGGATGCCCCGGCACCTGTGAGGGGCCGGTGGGGCGGGTGGGGAAGGTGCAGGGAGATGGGGAAGGAGTTACCTGAGCGAGGTGCCTGTCATCCCTTCGGTGGGGGTGGGGAGGAGGAGGGAGCAGCGTTGGGAATAGACACAGGGACACGCAGGGACACACGGGCACAGGGACAGGCAGGGACACACGGGCACTCCCCGGGGAGCTGGTGGAGGCACCGTCCCCGGAGGTCTTTAAGGAAAGGCTGGACGTGGCTCTCGGTGCCGTGGTCTGGTTGACAAGGTGGCCCTAGGTTGGGCTCGATGATCTCGGAGGTCTTTCCCATCTTTAATGATTCCCTGATTCCATATTTTAGTAGCTGGCCGCGGCCTTTTAGGGATTCAGCTTTGTGTTGCTGGAGGAATTGCAGCTCTTCTCGGATGCACTGGGTGCTCCTCTGGAGTGGCCAGAGTTCCCTCCCGCCGCCGGGGGATCACAAAACGCATTTTAAAGTCCTGGAATTCGAAATTTAGGAATTGGCGTGTCGGTGAATCTCAGTCGGTTTTGAAGTTTTGGGTTTAGCCCGTCCAAAGACCACGTAGGGCTTCTTTGATCATGTCTCTAGATTGCTGCTGTTACTTAGTTCTCCTATTACTCCACAGCCATCGGGGGAAATGAACATTTATTGTTATTTAAAATCAACGAAGACAGAGTAACTGACTCCAAAATAAATCGACAAGCGTGTTTTTGACAGCCATCCTGGTTGAATCCGAATGAGAGTGTGCTGTTAACTTTTGCCAGGAGTCACACTGAGGTGGATGGAGTTCCATGGGGGCCTGAGTTTGAACAAGTTAACAACTTTTTTTATTATCTTCTTGCTGTTTCCTTACATTCTCCTCAAGAAAGGTGTGAGAAGTTGAAGAACACTTAGATGATATCTGGTGATAAATTAGTAAACATTTAGTTTCTGGTAGTGTTTAATTCCCTGCCTATAACCAAGCAGAACTTAACCTCTCTCCTTGGAATAGTCTGTAGCCCTAAAAAGTTTTGGTAAACTTGTTTCTCCACACCGCCCTCCCCCAACCTCTGTAGGTTGGATATTTTTGGAAAATTAATTATACTTTATAGAATTAGAATAATAACACTGAAAATAACTCTGAGCTAGTATTTGTTAGCTATTATCTATATATATTTGGTGTGTGTATATATAGATACTTTTGTAGGCTACGCTTCATGTTTTGGCTTACATGAATTATTTAGAACTAGACTTTTTATTTGCAGTCTGAAGTAGAATATGTGTGTGAAGTGTTAAATTTACATTTTCTGCTGTGAATTAAAAATTCCGTCCAAGTTTATGAAGCTTATTGAGTTTAATTCATGGCTTTGGAATATTCCTTGGGTGAAGCAAGTATATCTTGTTCAAAATTGAAGAGCCAGCAGGGTTTTCTTAAGCCAGGAGGGCATTAGGTCAAGAGTTTGATATTGTTTCCAGGCTTGCAGGTAGGGTTGGTTACAGGAGCAGCAAGTGTTACAGTTCCTGCATCAATGCTTGGGTGCATTTAGGACTTGTCATTGGCATCCCCTCCCCCAGCTGGACAGTGACAAGGATAATTTTACCTAATAGCAGCCAAGAGTTCTCCCTTTCAGTGCCGATTTATGGGCAGGATTCCCTTCCTCGCGTGAAAGGAGCAGGGACTCACCGGGGATTGATCCAGTTGGGAGTCTGGGGGGTTGTGCAGGGTGGGAATTGGCACCTGATGGCCATCAGCGACTTCTGCAAAGTGGCTGATGGTTTAAACAAAGCAGCAGAGCACCACTGGTGTCCGGGAAAAACTGTGCCTTGGCGGAGCTTTTCAAGTGACATTTAATTAGGACAGACTTGCTTACATGTGCCACATCTTAAAGTCATGTTTGAAACGGGACCACCTGCTCAGATGGTATGCGAAAAGAATAAACACTCAAAAACGGAGCTTTTATTTGCCATGCAGGCATTTCACAGCTTCATCTGAGCTCAAATGGGTGCTAATTTGAAGACTAAAAACAATTGGTGCCAAAAAAAGCACTTTTTGTTGCTATAATTACATTATCTTTTGGGAGTTCCTTTTAAAACCTGTTCATTTCAGGTGTTTTTAAGCCTGGCTGTGGGACTGCAGGTTGAAAGTTGTGTGACAGTTTGTGGTTTTGGGTGAGAATTGCAGCCTGGTATCTGTTTAGCCTTTCCATGGTCATTTTGAATGCCTTTTGGAGAGCTGTTCTCCACATTAAAGTACAAAACTTTCTGATGCCTTTATATTATGGGAGTTGTATAACTTCTGAAATCCTTTTGTAAATAGATCTGTTGTTGTAGAGTAGGATTATTTACAGAGAACTGCTGCTTTTGTCTTTATAACTGAGTACAATGCATTATTTGTTGAGTTTACAGTTTCATCTCTGCAAAGAGGTTGATAAGAAGTACATTTTCACAAAAATTATGTAATAACTTTCTGGCTACTCAGACTCTGATGTTTATGCAGTGAGAGTTCTTTTTTGTTCTAAGACTTTTTTTTTTTTGTTATTTGTTATTATTTTTTATTATTTGAAATAATACCAAAAACATCTCTGAGCCAACTGCTTTTCTTGTGAGCTTCTGAGGGGAGAAAGAAGTAATCAGGAGAAGGGGAATGCTCTTCCTTTCCTTCCTCACCTCCATGGGTCCTTCAGGAGGAGGCTTATGGGAACTGTAGTCTTTGGATGCCTCAAAAACACCAGAGAAACTTTGGAAAATCAGGAAGGGTTACTTCCACAAAGACATGCTCCATAGGTGGAGTTGCCCAGTGCTGGCTCTTCAAGGTGACACAATATACCAATAGAATTGCAGTGATTATCCATTGCTTTATCCATCTTTTACTCTTTTGGGGAAGGGAAGTAAAATTCTGCATTTGATTCTCATCCCAGAATGTCTGGAAAAATAACTGGGCTGCTTTTGCTGGTACCAGTGGATTTCATTCCTTCAGAGCAGGGCTCTGCTGTGTCCTAACCCTTGGAATGGCTCACTTTGAAGGGTATTGGCTTTACCATCTCCTTATTTATTCCAAAGTGTCCTGTCCTTAGGATTTTTGGGGACAGTCCCCAGTAAAGGGCCAGGGAAATGTGGGAGACAATCCCCAGTCAGCTCTGCCTGCATCCACACAGTGGGAAACTCTGGTGCTGCTTCAGGCCTCTGTGTGAAAACAAAATCTGTGAAATCCCAGCTCAGAATTTTGGACAGGCAGGGAAATGCTTCTTTAAGTGAAACACCACGAGCTGACACCTATTTGTAAACATTCTCCAAGCAAAGTTTCCAGGTCTGGGTTAGCACCAAGTGCCTGAAAGTGAAACTGAGTAAATGAAAGCAAAATTAACTCTAATAAGTGTCAGTTTTGTTCCAGCTGTGAGAGACCGAGCTTTCAGTTGCTGTTACATAAAGTTCCAAAGCCTCCTAGTATTCCTTTTACCCCCCTTTTTCTTTTCCCCCAGAGGCAAATAAAAATAGACTGTGTTGTGAGTCAGTTAAAGGAATAGTTAATAATACATTAATACCTCTTTGTGTTGAAAAGTTTCCTCTTTCTTTTTGGTAACTGTTTGGATGGTGAAATAAGAGAGGGATGGAAATGTACAAATTGATTTCTGATGGCAGTCATTCCTTCAAAAAATAATGGGAAAAAATTAGACAGAATTTGTTGAGTTACTGGAAAAAAAATCAAATTAGTAGGATGACTAGTTCACAAAAGCATAAGTAAATAATTTTAATAATTAAATTCAACTTGCCAGTGAAACTTTTAAATCTTAGTGTCCCAAAAACCTGTTGTTCGCTGGTTTTGTGGTTTCCTGACTGCAAACAACATTTCATTCCAAATCCCCTTTCCCTCTGTGTGTTCAGCTCATGATTTGTGCTTCTGTGAACTCCATAAATTGCTCATAACTCATTTACTGTGGTCCTGTTGGAACACCCAGCATCTCCTTTATAGAGAGAGCAGTTTTGTGCTCCTGGTCTCAGTTTGAGTTAAAACTCAAGGAAGGGTTAAAAGAGGAGAGAAATATTGTCAGGGAAGTGAATGTGTTGGTACTTCCTCAGTTCTGTATTTTCCTGGTCACTGAGAGTTCCCTCACACTGATCTCTGCCCTGCCTGGTCGTAACTACAGCTTTTTCCTGCATACAGCTGTAAAACTACATATATTCCAATTTTTAAATGCAGTTTGAGCAGGACTTACACATTAAATACATGGAGGGGGTGTGTGTGGTCACAGACAAATCAGTTTCCATACATTCTTTCAAAGCCTGATTGATACTGGAAGCTCAGTAACTTTCCAGGATCATGATTCTGGCTCCTTTATTGTTATTCTTTCCAACTTGTGGATAATTAGGCATTAATGTAATGCTGTGCCAGAGTTAGTGTTTGAAATACATTGATTTCTTTGTTAATGTTACGAGATCTTGGGAGTTTTCATTGCTATAGAAGTTACTCATAAATACAACAAACACTGGGTCAGTGTTGTGGAATAACAGCTTAATGCACATTTTTCACCATCATGAGATGTTCCTAAGCTTAGAATTCTGTGCTCTTGTACTTGAGGTGACTTTCTGTCAATGTCAGAGTGTTCCTTCAGAAACTGAGATTGTTATGGCAGGCCCTGTGCAGGAAAAGGAGCATTCCTGCAAATGCTGGGT